AATCAACGACAGGATCGCCAGAGCGCTCNGCGTGACCCCACCAGCGGGCACGACGCAGCAGAGGACCGACAGACTGATGGCGGTGGTGCTGGAGGCGGTGCATGCACTAACGCCCAGGGCTAAGCCGTCACCGTACGCTAAGAGATGGTGGACGCAGGACTTGACACAGCTACGCCGCATCTACACGCACTGGAGGAACCGAGCGAAAGCCGCGAGACGAACAGGGGTGACTCGGCCGGATCTAGAAGAGATGGCAAAAGGAGCGTCGAAGCAGTACCATGATGCCATTCGACATCAGAAGAGAAAGCACTGGGATGACTTCCTGGCAGACAACGACAACATCTGGAACGCGGCNAAGTATCTGAAGGCGGGCAACGAGGCGTTCGGGACAGTTCCAGCACTTCGCAGAACGGACGGGACAACTACGAGCGACTTTGAAGAACAAGCGGAGGAGCTACTCAACACCTTCTTCCCTCCACTTCCTAGCAGCATCGACGACGAGGGAGCCAGGCCGCAGAGAGCACCCGTGGAAATGCCGACCATCACACTCGAGGAGGTGGAAAGGCAGCTGCACGCCGCCAAGTCATGGAAAGCACCTGGAGACGANGGACTGCCAGTCATCGTATGGAAGCAGGTCTGGCCGGTAGTGAAAGACCATGTGCTGGCGCTGTTCCGACAGTCGCTAGAGGAGGGAGTGTTGCCTAGCCAATGGAGACACGCCAAGATCATACCGCTCAAGAAGCCAGGCAAGGAAGACTACACCGTCGCAAAGGCGTGGAGGCCGATCTCACTGTTGGCCACTCTGNGCAAAGTGCTAGAGTCGGTGGTGGCAGAGAGGATCTCGCACATGGTAGAGACACACGGGCTTCTGCCCACTAACCACTTTGGAGCGCGCAAGCAGCGATCAGCCGAGCAAGCATTAGTGTTGCTCCAAGAACAGATTTATACCGCGTGGCGGGGCCGGCGGACTGTTAGTCTAATTAGCTTCGATGTTAAAGGAGCGTACAACGGGGTGTGTAAGGAGAGACTACTGCAGAGGATGAAAGCACGAGGGATACCACAGAAGCTGCTGAAGTG